AGATAGATAGATAGATAGATAGATAGATAGATAGATAGATAGATAGAAGGCCACTGTCTCTCACTGTCTCTCCCCACTCTGTTTCCTAGAGACAAGCACTGTGTTTACCTAAAAAAATTGCCCTGGCAATGCTTTGCCTGCACCGCTGGCAAATGGCAGTGAAATCGGAATACAGCAGGATATAAAAGCATGTTTCTCTCATTTCCACTTTTAACTAAAAATGTTTGGAAAACTGCTATCACACTGTCATGAGACACATGCACAAAGTCATGCAGTGTGACTGGTGTGCACTATTTATATACATCATTCTCCTTCCCATGTGAAAATGAGGGGTTATTAATGGTGAACATCTATATCAGATTTGTTTGTACTTCCTGAAACTAACACTCAGAATCAGAAATACTTCAAGTACAAGACAGGTATTGTTTTATTTTTCTTGTCTATGAAGTCTTAGATATTTTTGCTGCTTTTTATCACAGGTAAGTGTGTTAGTAGAACTTTTTTATTTGTGTGTTCTTCTTGAAGTGTCCCAGATGGTCTACAGTTGGTAGGAGGGCATTTTGTTACATCTTAGTTGCTAGGAAACAGCTTTAATACAATTTTCTTGGAATATGGCCTAGCCCAATTTCTTCACAGGAGTACGTGACATTTACCAACTGCAACTAATATGATGTGTATATTTTAAATGATTCATTTTTGTGATTGCGTGTTGTTTCTGTGTTATGTGGTGTGTGCAGGAAAGTACCATGCTGACCAGCATTACTGACGGGATACTGTGCTGCCTGACAGGGAAAACTGCCAATCTGGTCTTGCCTCTTGAGTCATCAGAACCTTCAGATGGTTTTGAATTTGTGGAGGTGAAGCCTGGGAGGGTTCTGCGTGTGCGGCACATTATCCCTGAACGTCAGCCCATTGACTCAAAAAATAAAGATGCGGGGGAGGAGAGGACAGATGACAACTGCAATGATAACGACAATGCCCCCCCTGAAGACTCTAACAGTACTAGTGTCCACTGTAAGAGGAAGATCACAGTTTATCGCAATGGTCAGCTGGTGATTGAAAATCTCGGGGATGTCTTGCACTCTGAGATCCTGCAGTGTCAGGATGGAGACGTAGAGCCCTGCAGCACAGTGGAGGTGGAGCTGGCTGACTTTAAAGAAATAGCCTCTTCCCCAGACCCCAACCCTGCTCCTCCTCCCGGTCCTTTACCTTCCGGAGAAGTGAAGCCATCCCCGCCTCCTCGCCGTCGCCGTCGGAAGCCCAAGCGCACAGTACTAATCGATTCAAAGCGGGTTATCTCAAGCTGCAAAGGGACACATTCGGATGTAGCTTTGTTCTTTGTGCATGGCGTGGGAGGCTCTCTGGACATTTGGAGCAGCCAGCTGGACTTCTTCTCTCGACTTGGCTATGAGGTCATAGCACCAGACCTGGCAGGACACGGAGCAAGCAATGCTCCACAGATTGCAGCTGCCTATACCTTTTATGCTCTGGCAGAAGACCTAAGGGCCATCTTTAAGAGATATGCCCGGAAACGCAACATTCTCATAGGCCACTCATATGGGTAAGAACTTATGAGAAGCTATTTTCAAAAACTTTTGTTTCAGCACCACAGACAATCAAAATAATGTTATTATCCTGCAACTATCCAATCATGTCTCTTATAGGGTCTCATTTTGCACCTTCCTGGCCCATGAGTATCCTGATCTGGTCCATAAGGTGGTAATGATCAATGGAGGGGGTCCCACAGCTCTGGAGCCCAGCCTTTGCTCCATCTTTCAGCTGCCATCTTGCGTCCTTCACTGTCTGTCACCTTGTTTAGCCTGGAGCTTTCTAAAGTAAGAGCTGCATCCTTTCAATGCCAAAATGGAGACATAACACAGGGGAATCATACTATACAAAAGCGGTGTTTCTCATTGACTTCAATTACAGCAAATAAACTAAAATCTTCTTTATTCTAATCTTCAGAGCTGGATTTGCTCGCCAAGGTGCCAAAGAGAAGCAGTTGCTGAAGCAGGGCAATGCTTTCAATGTGTCTCCTTTTGTCCTACGAGCCATGATGAGTGGTCAGTACTGGCCTGAGGGGGATGAAGTCTACCATGCAGAGCTTACTGCGCCCATTCTGTTAGTTCATGGCATGTGTGACAAGTTTGTACCAATGGATGAGGATCAGCGTATGGCAGAGGTATAGTGCATCTATATTTACATAGAAAAGAAGAACAGGCTTGTCATATTATTTGTATTTGTGTAACAAATTTAGTTTTAACATTTGCATTTACTTTGTTTGTTTTTTTGTAGATCCTTCTGTTTGCATTTCTAAAAGTCATCGATGAGGGAAGTCACATGGTCATGATGGAATGCCCTGACACTGTAAACACCCTCCTCCACGAGTTCTTTCTATGGGAGCCTGACATGTCCAGAAAAGACAGCTGCCAGACAGATGTGGAGAAAACTGTTTCTGTTTGTGACAGAAGCAACACACTTAAAATCAGTAAGTCTGTGGACAAATAACATTTGAAGAGACTATTTGTATCACAGAAGCAGGCAAATAGCCTTTTTGGCAGTTGGGAAATGCTTTTATGGCTCCCCGGCAGAGGGATTATGCCCAGGGCCACATGTTAAGGATGTGGATCACCACTGGTGCTCCAAGATAAAGCAAGTAAGAAAATTTGTTCTGAGGAATGGATGCAAACCCACAGTTTCCTCTTCCCTTTGAAAAGGAAGTTTGCAAAATGACTCTGGACTTGGCACTCATTTCATCTGTGAAATGTTTGTGATGAAAAATGGACTGGCGAAGATGCAAAAGACATAAGCTACTTCAAAAGATGTTGGTGTTTCCCTCACCCTTCCTTTGAACTTGGTTGAATATATCTTCAATTTATTTTCAACGAGGAAGGAATAATAAACGCGAAAATGTGGGATCTTGATTTCCAGAGACTGATGGTGAAGAACAGCTTAAAACAAGATGAAAGACTTGACAATATTGATTTATTGTGAAATTCTGGCAGGCAATGCAAAATTGGTGGAATACATTCAATTACAAATAATATGACTACACATATAATATACCAATGTATTCCAAATCTAAAGTATGAATGTGTCAGATGCTCATATGACTTATATTACAATTCAATGGAAAACAGTCCAGCCAATTAATCACATTCTTATATGTGCTGTGTGCGCCATCTCAAACATGACTGCTCACAATTATGGTTGAATTACGCAAACAGTAGTATAATTCTTAGTCACTAAAAAGTCAAGTGTCAGTGGTAAGCACATTACCAGCATTTCCACCTTGTATTCCTGCATGAAAATGAATAATGATTAAAACATATATGACATCTGGTTGTAAACAAATACAATACCAAGAAGCTTTCCTCGGACATTTCCTCAGATATATATTATCCTAAGGATACAATAAGTAATGAGTCCCTGAATTAATTCAGAATATTACAGATATGAGCTTATGGCAGTTGCAGTTGCAGTGCAGTATACTGTTATGTAAAATAGATTCCCAATACACCTACTTTAATAAGGATGTTCCTCTCATTGTATATTAATGTGTTCATTTCATCCTGCAATACAGGAACGATTCCCAGGACAAATTGTGGTTGTCTCAACTGCTTTACGGTGCTGTGTTTTTAAGCTGAATTTCTTTCCTCTTATTCGTTGGTACACCCTATTTTTCGATTTTTGTGTTAAACTGAAAGAATTTTGGTCAGTGGAAGATATTCATTCATGAATGCTGTTTTGTCTCACAGTGGGACAGTGTGGTGCAAGAAAAAGCGCGGTCTAATATAATACCTGACGGTGTTACCTGTTGAAAGACATAAATAAGTGGATAAGAAACAGATTGTTAAAGTGAAATTTGAGTCCTATAAAGGTGATAGAGATTTGATGGTGGTCTACTAAATATGCATTTTGGGAGAATGTGGATGCAAAGTGACTCATTTTATGCAACTTTGATGAAACCGAAAGGACATAAACAGACTTTGTATTGATGACTGTGAAAACATATATTCCCTATGGACTTTTCAAAAACCAACAAGTGCTGCTGATGTCTCCTTTGGTGTTAAAGGTGAGTAAAACTATGGACTACAGGGTGCACAGACTTACTATTAGGCTCCAAGTGTGCAGCTTCAAAAAGTCATGTGTGCTGAATCTATTTGTTGTTAACAAATTGTGTTCATGTTATTGTTACTTTTATTATTGGCAATCACAATATATGCATTGCGTTAATGTTTATGCATATAACATTACATAGCCTATAACAATTTGACTCATTATAGGATTGTGCCTTTCCTGGCAAGAAATAAAAATGTTCCCCATTGAGTGTTTCTATCATCTTTTTTTACTTGTAGTAATATAATTCATGATATTATTGTGCTTTACAAGCTTGCTTATTAAACATCATGCAAGGACTACATCAATAGACTTGTACAAAAAACTGTAATTTCATACAGTCACATAAAAAACAAAAAAACAACTAAGGATTGTTTAACGAAGGATTTCTGTTACATAATCATACAATAATCTTATAATTTATTATATAATTTAACACCAAGCAATCTAAAAATCTCTTTTAGAAATTAAGAAATTGAGAATATCCAACAGATCTTCACAAAGCAAAAATTTGAGAATTGAAAACCAATGTATCTGAAAGTCTAAGAACGAATGAAGCAGCACATTAGAGAACTTTGGTCAGTAGACACATTGAGCAGTTTGCTCCTTTGTGTAATGAAGGTGATTAAGACAGCTATGTGAGATAAATAAGTAAAAAAGACACTTTAATATTTAACAAAAAGTAAAACCATTACAGTTTATGTAAGGTGTACATGGCAGAAGACACCTTAGCTGTGTACTACAGCTGTGACTGAGATAAAACAACAAAGAAAGGAACAAAGAACTCACTAACTTTCTGTTTTTCTTCCTTGGATGTGGACTACAGATCATAGGAAAAATAATTTGAAACAGCGTGTGCTATGTATTATGTATATTTATTTAATGGATTTTTAATTTCTTTGATTTATGGCACATTTCCTTTACATTGACCTACTTCCAGAGATTAGTTTTGGTCTTTGGATTAGTATTTGCTAAATAGTTTAATCTATGCATTAATTTTACAAATCGTGAAAAACATCATTATTCAATATTTTTGTCCTTTTTGTTCCCTCTTCATCATTTTCATCTCAGTTTCTAGTAACCATCCCTATCAGTGATTTTTCTTGTCCCTTGGCATACATTCTCCCAAGGTTCCATTGCCAGAATTTTTTCTTTGTCCCTTGCTTTTATCTAATTAATCCTCCTCTTATAGGTTTTGTGTTCCTTTTTTGAGATGCACTGTTTCTCTCTTTGTATCAAGGAATTAATAAATAACTATTCAAAGTAGAAAGTGACTAATTATTTAAAAGCTGTGATAAAAATGACAGTATAATTTCATTTTTATTGCTTTGCATACATTTTATGTGAGGTACCCATGTGATCTCAAGATCTAATTTGAAAGTCCCTGTAGTGATCGGTTAAAAGGCCCCCTTTACTTAGAAAATCAGCTGCCAGTGTAAATCTTACAAGTAGACACCCTCTCTTTCTATAAGCTTGGGCTTTAAACTTTCATTTAGCTCTGATACTTAATTAGCAGACTACACCAATTGTGTCTTTTGTCTACACCACTTTTTAAGGTTTTCACTTCTTGCATAACCTGCAGTATACTTTTTACAGTATTAAACAATAATGTATAATGTCAGGTGGCTTTAAAGTCAATAAACAGCCTGTGTAACACATTCTTTGCTACCATTGACTATTTCTGCATGTACAGTAAATTAAAGGGTGTCAATATACTTGCTCTAACTTCTCACTTTTTCATTTGATCATTGTTGATATTAAATGTTAAAATCTCCATAATATTTCTATTGTGCTGTCATTTTTATTACAGGAATTTAAATGTAACCCTTACCAATTTCATATATTTTTTTCCACGGTCAGGTTAACCATAAATACACCACAAGTTACTCATACCATTGTTTTGTTTTTTTATATTTCAAAATGGATTCAAAGTAATCACAGTAACTGATAATGTTATATAACATTACTGTTATTACTATTAATCAATTTTGTATCATTATATATATATATATATATATATATATATATATAAATATAGGATATATAGTTTAGTGTTAGTAATGCACCTGTAAGATGTTTGTCAAACCGCCATAAAACAAGAAGAAGAAGAAGAAGAAGAATAGTTTAGTGTTTTACTGTTATATCCGACATACAACGGTCCAATTTAGTCGTGCTCTGATTGGTTTAGCGTATCCCATGCGTGTTGTGGTAAACAACTTGAGATTGCGTGTGCATGCGTAGATGTGGTAATGGAGTAGAATAATCTACTCACAGGGGGGTTTAGTTAGCAAGCTGCCTTTTATCTGTTACACCGCGACACGCTGTTATTGATTGGCTGCAAACCATTTCAAACATAGGGGAAACGACTTCTTATTTTACCGAGTGCAGGTGGTAAGTATATGCTTGTCAGTTTAGCTTCGTGGCAGAACGCGAATATCTGCACTCAATGCTAACCAGGTAGCTATACAGACAGGAAGAACTGATCTGAAGCTAATGTGGTTCCTGCGGGCCGGGTGCAGTCTATTTCCTGATGCCTCAATGTAATAGTTTCACATTTATGCTGGTTTCAACCATTAAGATTAAATAGTCGTTTTCAACGAAATGTTGGATATAGTTATTGAATTATGTTTTGTGATTAAAATATTTTCCTTAATTCTGTCGAAGTTTGTTGACGACGCAAAGTAAAACTGAGCTGGATACTGTAACGTAGCGACACTGGTAACTGTACGGAATATAGTCTAATCCCAGGGGTAAGACCTGACGATAGTTTAAAAAAACCTGTCGTGTAGTTGCAGCGCATACTTAAAAGATACAAAGTTTTAACATTAAATCTACCGTTATTTATGTATGGGATGTCGCACTGACATAGACGCAAATTTAAAAAAATGGGATTTGAATGACCAGTGCTATGCTAACAGATTAGCTAAGGCAACGTTATATTATGTTTCGTAGCAGTGTACTTCCTTGATTTGCTCATGTTTTTGGTCATGCAGTTGGCAAGTAAGATGGTGTTGGTTAACTGCAGTTAGGGTCTTCAATTGAGTGAAATTAAAGCGACGTTTAAAGAGACTCGGTTTAATCAATCGGGTACGTTTATTGCTTCTTGCTAGCTTGTCAAATTCTGAGATACAATATTAACGCACAAATGGCAAATTCAACTGGACGCCTTTGAACAAAATTACGCTCGCCCTGTTGATATTTTGTAGATAAACAGCAAGGTAAAGAGTATTATATACAGAGTTGTTTAAATTGTTAGTTTTTTTTGCCCATATCGTACCATGCCACCATATCAAAACTACTTGGAGACTCTCCATATGATTCAAAATGTGATGCAGAGGGAATCATGTATTGTGCTTACCTTTCTTGTTTATTTTTACTAAACAGCCAACAGCAATATTACTCCTTATTTAACTGTTATATTAGTAAAACATCATTTTAAAGGTCTCAGGCGTGGAATGTCTTCTCACATTCTTATCTTACTAATTCCCTAGTTATTACTGTCTTCCTTTACTCTCAGTGCATGAGCCTACTTAATGATAATTTATATATTTGCCAATATATATATTATATATTTTTCTACTATTTCAATAATTTATTTTTAGATGTAAATCCAAAATGAGAAGAATGTATGTGTGAAAATGCAATCGTTCAATTTTAAATAATTTTAGGGTATTTTTATCGGCCCCCCTGTCCCCCTTGGCATCTGCGCCCATGATTACATATGGCTCTTTCATTCCAGGTTTATTGATTATAATGAATTAAAATGGTTCATTTGTTTTTTGTTACTATACAAATATTTTACTTGCATAAATGTTAATGTGTTTTAACATTTCTATTTATCATTATTATTTTAAAGTTGATGATTTAAGCCAGGTCAAAAAATGTAAGATCCCGTAACGGAATGATACTGTTGTTTAAGGGAACAAAATTCCAAACTTTCCCTTTTCAAAATCTGCAGGGGCCACCACTTAGTTTAAGGATGAATGACATGGTTTCTCAAAACCATGGTTCCAAAGGAATCATGACGTTTTATCCAACTGTTGAGGAATTCAAGAATTTCAGCCGCTACATTGCATATATGGAGTCCAAGGGAGCACATAAGGCGGGTTTGGCAAAAGTGAGTATTAAAAAATGCATTGATTTACTTATGGCTTTTCATGCAGTTAAGAGGTTTAGTGGTTGTTCTTTTAAAATATAAAAAGACAAAAAGGACCAACTTGATTATTGTCAAGAAAAATATCTAGGAAAATGAAAGGATTGTCTCTTTTTTTAATTCTATATATTAACATCCTGATATGTATGGCCTGTTGTCAGAAAAATGTCATACTGCCACAGCCTGTCTGGTAAATGAAACCTAAATAACTGAATTTCTTTTTCCACACTTCTAAGATTGTACCACCAAAGGATTGGAGACCACGCCGTTCTTATGATGACATAGACGATTTGGTGATTCCAGCACCCATTCAGCAGGTGGTGACTGGCCAGTCAGGCCTTTTCACACAGTACAACATACAGAAGAGAGCTATGACTGTCAGGGAATTTCGCAAGATTGCCAACAGTGACAAGTGAGAACTGGTTTATTTTGAGAATGGCCAAATATGGTTTGCATTTTCAATCTGAAATGTTTATTTTTGGTGTTTTGTATGCCTCTCACAGGTTCTGTAGTCCACATTATGATGATTTTGAGGAACTGGAAAGGAAATACTGGAAAAATGTCACATTTAATCCTCCAATTTATGGGGCAGATGTTAATGGAACCTTGTATGACCCGGTGAGATAACATTCCTTTTTTTTTGCTTTATTTCTGCCTGTTACTATTGTATACAAAGGATAAACGGCTGACATATCAGACCTGTAATGTTTTTTCCATTAAATTGGTATTTAAGACGCCTACGTTGTTAGCTCAAATTAGCTACATGAGCTAAAAGTCTATTCCAAATTCGGTTGAATAACTTCTTGACTTTCTTTTTTGTGAAGTCACATTCAGTAGAACGATATACTTAATGTAATGAAGTAAAGGCACACACAGAAGCTGTGTGTCACCGCAGCTTCCCACACACTGAAGATGAATTGCTAATTTCTACCCTTTATCAAGGGAAACTGTCTGCTATTGAAGATGAAGATTACTAGAACAGCACTGTATCATATCATGGAAAAAAATTGGTTTCCAGAAACATAAGCTTTCAATTCTGTTTGGTGATCTTGTTATTATTTTCTGTATTCCAACAGGATGTCAAAGAGTGGAATATTTGCCACTTGGGCACCATTCTGGATACCGTGGAACGTGACAACGGTATCACCATTGAAGGGGTTAATACACCTTACTTGTATTTTGGCATGTGGAAGACCACATTTGCATGGCACACGGAAGACATGGACCTCTATAGTATCAATTACCTGCACTTTGGAGAGCCCAAGTCATGGTAAGGATTCATGCATTGAGCAGAGATTCTGGCCCAGTCTTCTATACATTTTAGGATTTTTGGGATAGTTGGTTGAAATTAAAAGGAATTGCAATTATTGTAGTCTATTCTGGGTGCACATTGGACATGGAAATTATTTTAATTTAGAAGACCAAATCCCACATGTGAAGAGATTTTGAATTAACCTCCTGAGACCCGAGCTTTTATTTGGCATGCATTTTAGCTTTTTTTTTAAAGATATATGAGATACATATTTAATTAAATGTTTTTACAATTTTGTTCTGACAGTCCCATTGACTTATTTACATTTTTTCTATTACACAATAAGAACATGATTGGATGGAAATGTATAAAACCATTTTACTTTAGATTTCAAACAGTGTCTGATAGCATCTGCTATGAGGCCAAGAGGTCAAAGCTGAAAGAAAAAAAGAAGTATCATGGTAAAGAGAGACAAAAATGCAACGTCCTCTTATGAGGACACAGGGTCTCAGGAGGTTAAGTGTGACCCTCCTATCAAATAACAAAACAGCTTTTCAAAATTAAATGTAGAAAATTAGAAGCTTTGTAAATTATTTAGTCAATAAAAAATCATTTAATTTCGTGCCTTATGAATTAAGATGAAAATAATGGGGAATTTGTCTTTGTCTTCAGGTACTGTATTTCCCCAGAACATGGAAAAAGACTTGAGCGTCTGGCTAAAGGTAGGACCCCAGTGGAAAATGTTTTGTTTGTACATTGAACAACGTAATGGCGCTTTTTCACTAATGTCTACTTGGCGTGGCACAGCTCTACACTGTTTTTTTTTTAACATTTCCACAAGGGGCTGGCCCCAAAAACAGTTACAACTTTAGCACTTACTCGGCCGAAGTTCAACCTGGGCCGAGTATGGTAGATGGCAGACTGCTCTGTACAGATTGGCCAGGGAGTCACATGATTAGATAACGACTCTGTCACATGTACCCTGCCCATTTAAAAAAACCTGGCAACAACAAAAATCCAATTTCATTATTTCTGTGATCCTAAACGGTGTAAATGCCTGAAATGTGGACCAACACCAAGGTTAAGTTGGGTTCGTAGTTGCTGGAAAGTCCTTCATTGTTGTCTCATGCTTGTGATGCATGTAAATGACTTCATGTGCTGGTCAGCCAATGTTTCTACTAGGCCATTATTTGTAATGGAAAAGTGCCTAAACTTATAGAGCTCTGCTTAGCTGAACCATGTGAGGCTGAGTAGGTGCTAATGGAAATGTGACATTAAAGTCATGAAGAACTTTGTACTTACAGGTGTCATGTTGTATACATATCTGGTGTCTTCTCCTTTCAGGGTTTTTTCCTGGTAGTTCTCAAAACTGTGAGGCATTTTTAAGGCATAAAATGACTCTTATTTCTCCATCAATACTGAAGAAATATGGCATTCCGTTTGAAAAGGTATTTATGTTTTAATTGATGCTTTAAACAACCTTAAGTACTGCGTGTTTCAGCTACAAATACATATTTCTTATTTTTTGTAAAGATTACCCAGGAAGCTGGTGAGTTCATGGTCACCTTCCCCTATGCATATCATGCTGGTTTCAACCATGGTTTCAACTGTGCGGAGTCCACCAATTTTGCCACTGAGAGATGGATTGAGTATGGCAAGCAGGCAGTTTTGGTAAGGACCAGAAGTGACAACATGGCAAACCATGCCTGTTTTGTTTTTTTGTACCGTTAAATCACTGTATATCTATACCCTTGTTCCCCACCTCCAATCAGTGCTCATGCCGTAAAGATATGGTGAAGATTTCAATGGATGTATTTGTCAAGAAATACCAGCCTGATCGCTATGAACAGTGGCTTACAGGACGAGATACGGCACCCATCGACCACTCACGGCCGACCCCAGAAGCTAAGGAGTTTTTGGGTGACACCTTCAATGAGATCAGCAGGACCAATAACAGTAACTCCAATGAAAGCTGTGGGGAGGATGGAGAAAGAAAGAGGTATGTCATAAAACAAGGAATAAAATGCCTTAGAACAGGTGTGACGACCCCCTGCCATACTACAGTTATTATTATTAGGATTATTTAAGCCAATTGTTTTTGTCCTCCTTCATTTGATAAAAAAAACAAAGAAAGACACTGAAACAGTCCTTACCCTGTCCGTATTTGGACAATGTTTAACAAAACACCTGTAAAACTTAATCGTTAAGCTTATTCCAACATCAACAATGTGCATTGTCCGAATAACTTCAATAAACTTCATACTACTGGCACTCATCTAGTTGGCTAACTGAGCAGTCATCACTTAATTAATCCAATAATGTAACAGTTATACAAAAATAAACAATTAGAACTGCTTAGAAATGGAAGTGTAAAAGATAGAATTTATGAGTGACACACAGCAACTTTAAATATCACACACTGAGTTATGTCATTTATACTCCTGCATTTTCCAGCAGTGAGGACAATTAAGTGTTGATGTGATTTCTATAGAACTTCAACAAAAATAAATAAAAAAAATCGTTTCCATAAACAGGTCTTTCATTACAGCTAACAATGTAAGTAAAGAGTCAGATATTGGCAATCACAGACTAGGTTTTCATTCTGTAATATTAGGTGGTCAGCATTTTCAGACCTACGTTGCATGTATTCTCTTTAGCTGTTGCCTCTCCCCTCCATGTTGCTGTTTACAAACTGTGGGTGTACTATGTGGCTAACCTAAACACGGGTCCTTTGGCTTGCCCACATGTCTGTCTTCAGAGCAGAGTTAGACACTTTTACTAGCTAGGTACTGAAGCTTTCTCACATCTGTTTACATGTTGGGGAGTATGAGCTTACAAAAGAATTTCAATGTGGTTACTGATATCTTGCTTTAGTAATATCCTCTCACATGTCACCTTTGTTGCGTAAGGCCGGAGTGTGAATGAGTTTGGCATCTTGGTGTATTTTGAGGCAGAAGCTGGGAGCAATTTCGCATTCAGGGTTGCCGCCTGCAGATTTATACACTCTAGACAGCAAAAAATTAGTTAGACACAGACAAAAGAAGTACAGTGAATACTTGCAAGGAGAGCAGCTGAGACTCAGCAATCTCCAACCTACTCTGAGTTATCTCGCTGCTCTCCTCTCCTTTTATTTGGTTCCTACCACATCTTGTGACTTCATCTTCTCTAATGAGAGAAGTAGCACACATGATTGCAGCCTTATTATTAATACACATTGTTCTTAATCACAGGATGCAACTCGTTTGACAGTAAAACAAAGTGCAGTTGTTTCTTTTTTTTTCACGCAGCCAAAAAGGACTGTGGTCACAAGGATCACTACTGTGGTCAGCAGTTTTCAGTGGTCACTACTGGGTCAGCAGCCACAAGGGTCACTGCGGGGTCAACTTCTAATATCTGCAAACCAACTTGTACTTTTGATAGTAATTTCTTGCTATCACACTAGCACAGTTAAACCTTTACATACACACACATATATATCAGAGAATGCATGATAACTTTTGTACAATTATTCTAACAGCTAAGATGTGCTTGAACATTTGCAGCACACCGGTTTTCAGAATTCTCTGATGATACATTAAACCCCATGCTGATAGGTGCTCAGGGAACACCTCTCTCAATCTCTCAATATTTGATCCTCATCTGAAATTTTGAATCCATACAATCTCAAAACATTGTAGCCATTTTTTGCTAAGTTTGTATTGTCATAGTGGATTGGGGAAATGGGTAATATCAAGGTCTTTTTAGTGTAACTCTTACCCAGTTGTCCAAATCCAGTCATTAAGGTCCACAGGCTTGCAGGTTTTAGATGTTACCCTGCTTTTACACACCTGAATCACAATAATCCCTGCTCTAGTGCAACATGGAAAAAAAAACATTTTAAAACTCCATATATATCGCTCAGCCCTGATGACATTCAAAAATCCAATTGAACATGCCCAATTCCTGAGTTGAAACAGCTTAAGACACGGCCACAAGAGCAAGGCTGATCGTTTGACCTACACTGCTCTTTTGATATTCAAAGAGCCTTGAATTACTGCATTAATTAGAAATGCACAGTGAGTAAATGTGTTGGCTGCCGACTTGCCTATAGTCTATTCAGTAGGTGCCATAATTACTGAGAAGGACTCCATAGCTGACAGATATTCTTATGTTTCTAAACTGATATAAATAAGAAAAAATAAGTTTGTTTTTGATTAACATAAATAACAAAGTTGCAATCCTTGAAAACATTTGAAAAATGATGGGATGCAAGCCTTTTCATGTTTCCAATGCTGTGCTTTACATTTCTGTTGTCATTTTTCAGCACACAGAGGATAGAGACCAAGAGACACCGCGTGTGTCTGGAGGTGCCCGAGGAAGTTGTTCCCAAGGAGGAAGATGATGCTGAGCAGTATGGAAAGCGCCCCAGGCTAAGTCTTATACCTCCAAGAGCTACAACACAAGATGGCAGGAGAAACAAAGGTATCCCTCCTTCCTGCAACATTCTACCAGTTTCCTGTAATCTGAGTAAAAGTATTTATTAAAAATTCCATCTGATTTGTTTTGCAGGTCCTCCAAAGTTGGTTGTCACACCAACCAAACTGACTCTGATGGATCCATTTCACAGGGGCTTATCCCAGAGTAACAGCGAGGGTAGTCGTCCACATCATTATACCAAGACCCGCGCACCGGCAATCTCATCTGAGTCTAAGCATAGAAATGGGCACCTTTCGGTTCAAGTAGGACCCACATGGACAGAGGCCACTGCTCAGCCAGTCCGTAAAATGGGGGTGGCCAGTCTACTCTTTCACAGGACTTTGAGCCCAAAAGATGCTCTCCAAGTGCACAGCTACACTTTGGAGAAGCAGCGGCAGCCTCACACACAGCTCCAGGTGCACAGTTATGCCAGGGAGCACCAGCCGCGTCACCTTCAGCCCAAAACCTGTACAAACGCAGAGGTTCACTGTGCATCTGAGGATCCACGCTGTGACAAAATCAAGTCACAACCTGATTCTAAAATCATTCTTAACGAAGTCATAAATAATGTATCAGAAGAACAGGACCCTGTGGCGCAGGACCAAGATGAGGCTGAACCCAAAGTGGCGATACCCATTGAAGTTCCGGCTGACAAGGAAACGCTCAAAGTCGATGCTACCAGCAAGGTTGCACTGCTCCAGACCCCAGTGCATAATCAAGACACCAGGGACGAGGGGGCTCAAAAAACCAAGAAACGGAAGGTGTGTTTTTGTTTTGTTTTTATTTAAAGCCATCTTTGCATATTTTAAATAAACAATTATTTAGATTTTTAGTCATCACCCATTCTCACTCTCCCTGTGACATTCGATTGCTGCCCTTTTCTTATTCCTTTAAAAAAGCACGTACTAATATTTTCTATTTGGTGAGCTTCCTTACAGCTATATAACACATTAAATGGGCTATAGGCCATCTACATATCTGTGCACTGCATGTGTTGTCAGTTCAGTCAGATCTTGTATCAATTCATCCAAAGAAATTTTTCAAAAGTAAAGCTTGCTTATTGTATTGCTCATTTACAACTCTGGACTTTACCCAAAGCTCTCAGTCAGTAATACGTGTTTTGGAAAGTCACTTGAACCTAATTTTAAATCATAGTCGGCATCATTGAAACATTAAACATTTTGCATTTGGTACATCAATCTATTTCAGCTTTTTTATGCCAACAAAAGCATGTGAGGAGAAAATTAAATCAAGGGATTAAACTTTTCTCTTATTTTTATTATTTCATCTTACATTGGTCTTTGTGACTTGAAATTGTGCAAATCATAACTTCAGTTTCATCAGACTTAAAAGCAGGGTTTGTTTCTGATAACTTGTTTCTGATAACAGTAGATGGACTGCTTGGACAGTCATATGAAGTTAGACTTAATGGTTTTGTAAATCACGATTTCCTTGCATGACGCAAAACACCCAGTACTAACTCGACCAAACAAATTCATCCTTGGTGATTTTTTAAAAATTTATCATTTTTCATTCTGGCGGCAGAATCCTCTTCTTCCTTGCGTTGTACCAACGTCTGCTGGCAATGTTCAATGTTTTTCATCCTGTTCATACTACAGAGTAACCAATGTCCATTGGTGGATAGTGACTCTGAGACCCTGAACAACTCCGCTTCTGTCAGGCAACCAGTTCATGAAGAGATGAAAGTGATTCCTCAGAATCATCGCGTAAGTACTTAACACTTGCGACCAAATACGTAACGGCATCCTTTGAGTTGCCAATAAAGTTACTAAATAAGAGGCGGAATGGTACCGTGCAGTGCAACAGCATCTCTTTGTAAAAGTTATGCTTTGTTATCCCATTTTTTCTTAAAGCAGGTGACGGAAGAACAATCATATTGCAAGTCAGTGGGCAAAAAGCAGGTGCAAGAGGCACAGCTTTGTAAGCTGCCTCGCCATCACCCTCTCATCAGAGAGGTGCACAGTGATGACGGTATGTGCTGTTTTTTTTCATCAAGCACCTTTTCTATTTTGATGAAGTGATACGTTTCTTCATTTTCAGTGTTTCATCACACAAACACTTTCTGTATTTGAGTTTGTATTGAAACCTTTCATTCATACTTTTTCTTTACACTTTCTTCAGATATGTATGCAGATGTAGAGGTAGAGCAAGAAGAGAAGGAGGAGTGGGCAAAGCCTCTAACCCAGCTATGGCAGTGTCGACCATGTGACCCCCATGTGGAGTGGGAATATAACAAAACCATGGGCCAGCTGGCCCCTTACTGCTCAATTTGTCTGCTTTTCCACACCTACCAGCAGGTAAAAAAAGTTGTTTTTTTTGTCATTATTTTTAGCAGTAACGGAAGGAGCAGGCTGGTTTGTTTGGATTACTGGAGGCAGCAGTTTGCCATTGCCCTCTGCACGTAAAACTAGCAGAAACACATTTTGTTTGTATTTTGACAGATAAAGATAGTTTAATCTGTGCTGTCTTTATGTCACAACTTGTTATAGTGAGTGCAGTCATTGTCTGCAGCAGTTTTACACATGAATGAAGTCAAAAGAGCATGTTCATTAACAGTAACACATACAATTGAAATGGAAAATGTGAAACCATAAACATAAACAGACTTTCAGCTAGTTCATTAGAAGCATGAACTTTCACAACACTTTCACAACTTTCACAACACTAATACTCTTTTTTTTTTTCCTTTTGTAAATGGAACCTTATTCCCTCAGATAATAATCAGTTTGATGCACAAACAATAAATATTTGTGAGTAGGATTTACAGTAATGTCAGAAAATCTTTCAAGGTATCTCTAAGCGAAGCTGGTTGTGATTGTTAGAAACTAAAAAGGTGTGTTGACTTCTGACATCCGTTTCTCCACTCACCCACAGTCTGAATCGAGCACTGGAAGCTCCAGTGGGATGTTGGTGAACCGTCCAGGTGGACGCCAGTGGTCCAAACCGCTCATCCCTGAGATGTGTTTCAACACCCATTCTAATAAAGTGAATGACAGTGGGGAGGGACAGCTTTCTAATCCTCATGTAGAGGAGGATGGGACCAGCCGCTTGGTCAGCTGTGCTCAGTGCTTCGTTCGTGTGCATACAAGTAAGCCCCTTCTCTTTCGATCAGAAGGGGAAAAAAATCAGGGTTTGCTGATTAAAAATTGTTAAATGCCATTCTTCATAGATAAGAAATGTGTTATTAATGTCTTCGCTTTTCAAAGAAACTAACATATATAGATCTATAGATATAGATAGATATAGATCCTGCCGGGCCACACAGTCAGATGTAAGTCAACGAGTAAGTCAAACACTTGGATGAAAGGAAGTTTAGTTGTAATGTTTTATCAAAATAAGCAGAAATGATTGGCAGTATATGTAACATAACTGACAATCTTTTGCTGCTGACAGTCATTTGTGGGATTTGAAGTAAGAAAACAGCCTAAAAAAACAAGTTTTGTAATTCATTTTCAATTGTGGTTTTAAAAACATAAAAAATTAAACTGTCATTGTACACATGAATTTTACAAGTATGATCCTAAACAAAGAAGAAATCAGACATATCAGCTGTGTATCTATGTTATCTCTGATAGCTTATCAATACAAGTTTACTACAAATCTTTCTATACACTTTGGTGTATAAGAAAAGTTTTATTAAACTTGCAGATAAAAAGCGTATGGAAGGTTAAACAACACACTGATTAACATGTTTTAAATAGATAATAGTAAATAAATAGTATGTTTCTCACTGATGGCCTCTTACCTATAGCTGTCGCACAAGTTGGTTATTTGTTTTTCTTACTCATCATCCTAGTTACCTACAGCTATAGGTAACTGTCGCTGTAGGTAACTGTAACTTATTTATTCACTGGAGTCTAAATAATATCAAAGATTAAAAATGCAGGAGGATGAAACCTCTCCCAGCCCAACACACTTCCATTCATCCATTCAAATTAGTCGTAAAACACATTGTTATTCTTGAACTAACAAAGTTGACCTTAATTGCTTTAATTGGTCTTATTGTGTGTACTTTTAGTTGGGCTTATGCCATTTTATTATATTAGTGTGTGATGTTCTTATCTACTGTTAGTTTCCTATGGTTTGTAGCATCCAGTCATTTACATTTACATTAACCCTTTTGTTTCAGCTGTGGCTTTAACATGCTTCATAATTGAAGAGTGTATGGTATGGTAAGCCAGAGGATCTTTTTAAACAGGCCCTTGTCTTCCGATTTGAACATTTCGGTTTGGCTGATGCGAAGAACAACAAATCAACCACTTTTTCTTGACGGCAAGTGGCTGAAAAAGTAAAAAAAGAAAGTTTAATTTAGTTTGTTCCATGTTTAGGTTGCTACGGGGTGTCCGGAGATGAAGAGGAGCTAGATGACTGGCTCTGTGCCCGATGCGCAGCGGACGCCATCACTGAGGTTAGTCAGCAGACTCTTTCTAATGCAGCTCTCATGATATGATGTCACTGTCGAGAAGAATGGGGGGACTTGTTGAAAGATCCGGGAGAATCTTTTGTTGGTGCTTCTGATTTTTTTTCTTCTTCTTTTTTTTTAGACAGGAATCATATTTTTACTCAAGTGTATAAATGTTTTTACTGAAGTTGGCACAACCTTTAAAACATTTATAGTCCCTCTTGGTCTTTGAGCTCTGTGCCTCTTTTTTGGCATTGTTTTCCTTTCATCATTTTTGGTGAATTAGTTTTTCAGATTTTTGTTTTTCATCTTAAGCGTTCCCTTACCTGTGACATCTCAGTCTGCCCCAACAGATTCTTAAGAAAACTTTGGCGAATATGGGTTGCACTTATCCCATTAACCTCAAGGGGGCGTGATATCCTCGATATCTTTATCTTGATGTTATCTCTGTACACCATTTTCACTTTTCTTCTTCTTCTTTCTCTTTTCCGTTGCCAAATTTAGAGTGATGTTTTGTTTTTTCTTTTGACTCAGTTAAATAGTAATGCCTTTAATAATTGATTCAGTCAAGCACCTTATTGTCACAAATTGTTGATAGAAGTTTGGACAGTATCTTGCCATAAAGTCATCAAATAGTTATAGTTTGTTTTTATTTATGTATTTGGTCAATGGTTTTTTGTTACTATAGAGACTAGAGGAAGCATCTCTTACAGGAACTACAATGTTTATGCATTTGGCAGATGTTTTTAATCCAAAGCGACCTACAGTGCAGATGCTTTTACAGTTCACATCAAAGCTAACAATAAGCTACACAAAAGGAGATCCCAAGTCAGACTTTGTTAGAGGTGACGGTGGCAATAGTATGCAGAAAGAGAAAGGGCAGTAGAGGGGGATTGGGTGGTACAGAGGAAGTGTTCGGCTTTGAGGACTACAATTTCACAAACATAAAAGCCTTTTTTTTTTTTTTTAAAGGCAGGTAATGTAAGTAAAGGATATTAAAGTGCAATTAAAATTGTTGTACTTTAGTTGGTGCCAGTCTTATGACTACCTTTTTTTGGTTTATGGTAAGACGCTTTAACACACAGTACACATGAGAAAAACAGACATCCAAAAATAGATAGTTTAAGAAACTGGGGAAAGAATTTCAGAGCAAAATATTTGTGTTTGTCCCCGTAGGACTGCTGTCTTTGTTCTCTGAGAGGTGGAGCTCTACAGAGGGCCAATAATGACAAGTAAGTAGCAGATGAAGGACAAAGAATATTACATCTGCCATGTACTTTTAATTTCAGGTTGTCTGCATGACCGAGGTATCTTATAAGAGGAGAGGATGTTATGGAATGCTTAATGTGAATACATCTCTCTATAGCATCTCTCTATAGCAAAATAACACTGACAGATTGTCTGCTTAATAGACCCATCCTTCCCTCTTTGAGCACATTTACTACTTTGTTCATAGTATTATTGTGCTTGAAAGCATCTGGTCTATTAAACCGTGGATTAAACATGCAGAATATATGTCTCTGTGGGGCTATAACACTCTCATCGCTTATGGTTGGTAAAATGTCATATCTTAATGTTGATGAGACTGCTGCTTTTATAAAGCCTGAATATATTCATAAAAACATTTTTAAAAGAATTTTTGAAGGACAATAAGATGAAGCTGAGAAAGGCTTTTGAGTACAGGGTGTTTGTCAAATTAAGTAAATGTTACTGCTGAGTTGTCAGTAACAATAATAACACATTATTATTACTGTTCTGTCGGTTTTGTGTGGACCTACTGTTAATGAAGTGTGTGCTAAAATGTGTGCTAAAAGTAGTTTAATTACCGAACATTAAGAATGACTAATTTCTGTTTTTCTGTTCTTAGTTGTGAAAAAAGCTTAAAGACATTGTACCCTTACGGATGCACAGTTTTCCCACAATCCACCTGATTTTTTTTTTCTTTTTATACAGATGGGTTCATGTGCTGTGTGCAGTCACTGTGCTGGAAGCACGCTTTGTCAACATCACCGAGCGGAGCCCCATCGACCTCTCTGCCATCCCATTGCCACGTTTCAAACTGGTAAGACCGTGCAGTTGCAACTTTTGGTCTTATTATATATTTATTTTTGTCTTGAATCAGACTGCGTGGATGTGCTTTGAAGCCTTAAATGTAAAGGTGACTCATGTTTGACAGTCAGTGCTTTTGGTTTTAAATCTCTTGGGGGAATTTTTGTTCCAACCAATACACTTCGACACCTTGTGGTTTTTATATCTAAATAAAACCCTTGCCAGTGAAACTAGTTTGGTTGTTTACAGCTGTTGACAGCTTTGAGAAGTTTCACTTTTCACTTCGTTCTAGTTTCTAGATTGCTCAAACAAAAGGTTTTCAAGGAACAACATTTAACATGTAAATGTAAAAAGTTCTGACGATGTCTCTTTAAATTAAAGTTAGATTATTTTTTCTTGCATATGTTGCATAGCTTGCTACTGTCTGCCTGCCAATTTAAAATATTCATACCCTGTTTTGTCAATTTGATCATTTTAACCCTGGTGTGCTTTCTTTTCTCCCTCTGTGACCCTTATTGCCCTGCTCTCTGGTAGAAATGTGCCTACTGCAGAAAACGAATGAAGAGGGGAGTGAAGGGCTGCTGTGTCCAGTGTTCCCACGGGCGTTGCTCCACAGCGTTTCATCCCACCTGTGCTCAGGCTGCCGGTGTTCTCATGCATCCGGACGACTGGCCATTCGTAGTCTTCATCACCTGCCACAGACATAGAACTCCTGTCATACCTGAGGTAGCCCAACAGAATCACACAAGGCAGTAGAATTATGTGAAGATGTTGCTGTTTTTGTTTTGTTTTGTTTTCTTATGTCTGTGCTATATTTACTGTTGAGGGCTATTTTTTTTTAGGGCTATTTTTTGAGAGGCACACAAAGAAGCATTAACACAGACCAATCTCAGTAACAAGCCTGAATTACTGTTTTATGTGGTGACTCATTCCTGGGTTCCTTCCATCCTTGCGCAAAACTAACCTCTTGTCAGAAACCAAGCCCCAAGTTTATACTTATGACAGTCAAACTCATTATATAGCAGCTAAATTCTCATTGATGTGAATGAGAGGTGATTATTATAATTATGTAATATTTATAATTATATAGTAATTATATACACACACATTATTACTAGTTATACATGCTGCATCTATGTAATTATACCTAATTATATAAGTGCAGCATTTATGTAATACTGTTAGCCCCAACCAAGCTCAGACATAATAAAGTTTGACTTTGTGCCCAGTTGAGATCATTTTCCTGCTGTTTGTTGGGAAAGGGCCACAGGACTTCATGTTTTGGTAATGCTTCTTCTAATTTCCTTCATTGTGCACATCTTAGTTGTTGTGGTATTTTAGCTATGTCGATTGCAAGTCCCGTCAAGTCTCTCTTGGAGCAGAAAGCCCCGTCTCCGTGGACCAGAAGAAATGTTTTCGATAAGATGAAAAGATCCATTTAGTTCTTTTTCCCGTAGTTTTTGTTTCTGATCAACAATTTCTTTTTAGAATAATGCTCACATCTCCTCTTTCAGCGGAACAAGGCCTCCATGCGAGAGCTGATGGCAGGCCAGAAAGTGATCTGCAAATACAAGAACGGCCGTTACTACCACAGCGAAGTGGCAGAGCTGACCACAGCCACGTTTTACGAAGTGGTGTTTGATGACGGCTCATACAGTGACAATCTTTTCCCAGAGGACATAGAGGTTAGTCAAACTGCTCTCAAACTCCACAGAAGTTTGCATTTAGCCACCGTGACTAATGTTCCTGTGAAGTTTTTACCTCTATGCAATTTGGCAGAATTTTGAATTCTGCTCTGTTTTATTTGTCAGAACCGTGACTGCATTCGCCTTGGCCCGCCTTCAGAAGGCGAAGCTGTTCAAGTGAGATGGACAGATGGGTTGATCTATGGCGCCAAGTTTGTAAAGTCACACTCCATCCCTATGTACTTGGTAAAGCAGCTGTTAGGTTTCCTTTTCTAAATTACTTATCAAATCAGTGTACTTCCTAATACTAGTGTTTGTTTGTACAAAGGTTGAGTTTGAGGATGGATCTCAAATCACAGTCAAAAGAGAAGATATTTACAGTCTAGATGAGGATTTGCCCAAACGAGTCAAGTCCCGCCTGGTACGTATTTTTATTTTTTATTTTTTATTTTTTCTATAAATCTGTGTAGCCAACCAGCAGTCATCATTCTGTGTTGGTTTGTTTTTCTTGCAGTCAGTGGCGTCAGACATGCGCTTTGAGCTCTTCACACAGAAGGACGTCAAACAGACCTCCAAAAGGCAACGAGTCATCAACTCGCGGTACAGAGAGGACTACATCGAGCCCGTCATCTACCGAGCCATCATGGAGTGACTTCTGCTGAGCTCCAGATCATTTCCTTTTTCATTTCTGGCCTGTGCTAATAGGAACAACCACCCTTTACAGTTCTTCCAAGCCCTCTCAGGCTCCATTTTCTTTTAAAACTACGGCTGGGACTTCAATTGACTTGTGTGTACTTAAAATATCTTTTATTTTATTTCAGTTTTCCATAATTGTCTGTATATATATTTTTATTTCTTTCGCTCTCACAGGAAGAAGCCATCAGTCAGTTATTAAAGGCTAAAGGCAGGGTTAATTAACAGGGGGAAGATGCTTTCATTTTCTACCACTTTACTCATATTTTACACAGTACACAGCTTGGACAATTTGGACAATTCTTTTAGATGATGTTTCTTCTGTAATTGACGCACACTTGTTTATTTTCTTAATTTAATTACAAAAATATATTCCCATCAAGAAAATTGGGGTGGACTTTTTTAAAGACTCGTACTGTTTAATTCTAGACTTTGAACCAAGTAGCTGTTGAGGTCATTTCTTTCCCTCAGCAGTTTGTGTAATTAAGAACCGTGTTAAATTATTACCCAAAGAACTGACATTTTCATAAGCAAAATCCTCAGATTGTATGTTTTACTCACGTTATTAGGTTGTGATGTATCTTCATGTCGTTCATATTCCTCCATGTATATCACGGTGCATCTACGTTTTTAGGTTGAGAAAGTTTCTTCGGCCTAAGCCTTACAATTCAAAGGGCCAAGTTTGTCTTTCTGTTTTTGCTTCTTTTTTTTTTTTTAGGACGAACCAAGAAGTAATGTAAATAATATTGTTACACTTTATTTATGAAAGTGCATCACATTTGAGAAAAAAGCTATTTTTGGCACGTCCTTTTCACAATATGTAGAAAACCTCAGATGTATTTATATTTATTATGATAGTAGGGTTGCAGATGTGTCGTTTAAAATTGGAGGTTTTTCCTTTGCTGGTTATTGGAACGTGAGAATGACCAGGCCCAAGGTTCTCCTAAAACAAAAGCACTTATAGTTTCCTTTGTTTTTCAGAATATTTAGCATTTGGTGGATTTAGCTCCTCCAACAAGTTTAGATTGTGTGTTTCAAAGCTTTAGAAAACTAGCTGTAGAGAACCTGATTTCGGGTCATAGCGTGGAGCCCCCATAATCCTGACATTGATTTTAAAAGTTATTTTTTACACATTTTTGTCGTATCTGCTTTAAAATAGCCATGTGAAGGATTATGAAAAGTTATGGTAATGGGTGCAGACCCTCTTTAATTTTTTCAACTGCCCATTGCTACTGTTATGTCGGATATTTTTTTGGGTCTGTCTTCGTAGCTGCATTAAACCTGTGCACTATTTGTAAACGCCAACTGTTTGAGTAAAGTTTGGGTTAAGAAAAAGTGCTTCTTTTCATTTGCTTTCTTCAAGGGAAACCACCCTCACCACATTGGCAGTGAAAGCAAAATACCAGCGTTCTGCATTGACAGTTTGTGTGTGTGTCAGCTTTTTTGTTTTTTTCCCAATCTCAACAGGTTTGTTATTTGCTGTCATCAGCAGCCTGAGTGCCTGCAGCTGTTTCAAAGCAGGATGGGCTTTGTAGATCTCTGCCCTGCCTTCCAGCCATTTCCTGCACAAACTTTTAAGACATCTGTTTTTTTAGCTCTAGTACATAATGTCCTGGGGTTTAACAGGAGAATTAAAGATATATTTTGGACAGTAACTTTGCAGTCTCTTGGTATGTTAGAAATATTCCAACATTATTAAGTAGATGAATCACATTTTTTGTTAGAAATTGTATCCCTACATGTCAATTTTCCAGTGATTGTGGCAGAGCAATAGAAGACCAACAGACCCATAAGCCATGACATGCATGCTGCTGATTCTGAGTAGCTGAATACTTTTAGTGGTGCATGTGATAGCAGTGAGTTAAGTCATTCATTCTGTGTGGGGTGAAAAAAGATGTCTCAAATGGGTGGCATATATATAAAGGAGCGGGGGGGCAAATGTGAAAAGTGGTTGTGGTGCATTTCTTGGAATATCTCTGTAAAATCGGTCATTGGATACATTGTTCTGAAAAACAGGACACTTTGATTTAAAATATAGATTAGAGAAAGGGAAACAAAGGGCAGAAAATGTTTTGAAATGTCTTCAAATGGCAAATAAGACCAGAAAGATGTGGTATGGAGAAAAAAATTACCATTGGAATGAATCATAAAATAGTAACAATGCCAAAAACTTTGCAGTGTGAAAAGTAAAGGCCAAGCTTCTGGCAAAAACCCTCCCTGCAAAGTCCCATTTTTGAAAAGGTCACAATTTCTCAAAGAACATTGGGAAAATGATGCGACAAATGATGCAACATTTTATAGATTGATGAAAATAGGACTGCTCTTTTTGGGGATTCAAGCCACAGCAGATAGTATGGCACGGTGGCACTTATTAGGGGCATCGTGCATGAAATTACTAGAGGAGGTCATAAGGCATTATTGTGAAAAGGGAATGAAATTGGTGTTTTAAAAAGGAAGTATATCCAGACCACTTGGCCTTTAATTGACAACAAATTTGATCTTTTTTTTTCACTGAGTTATTTTTTATAGCCTTTCATCGTAAATGTTAATCTTCCAGCGACAGCTGTTATATCATTTCTCTGTTGTATTATTAAACTCCACCCGCACTTTTAAATCCCCATTAATGCAGCTTTTAATCAAAGCTGCAGCTTATTCAAGGACCTTTCAACCGATGGAATGCGCTGTGGCTGAATCACCAGACACTATGAACCACCTGAGGAAATGTAGAGATGGCCAGAATGTGGGGAGAGTGCAATGCCTGTCTCTACATGCAAGATATTCTAGATATTCCTGATGTTACAGAGTAAGGCTTGAAGAGAGACTTCTTCAATTTTACTGAGAGGTGGCACATTTTGAAAAGCTTACTTCTGAATCTCTCCACTCTGTAGAAGTACTTCCACTATAATGATTATTGTTGTTGTTAAACAAATAGTATCTTCATCTTTGTCAGTCAATGATTTACAACATGATAGCAGTATGGTTCTTGGCTGACTTTGGTAACATTGAAATTATGTGATTATACACAATAGCTTTTGCAGGAGTTTTATGGACTTCAAAAAAAGTATATTATTGACCTTTAAAATAGTCAATCACAGGTAACATACTTTAAAAACATATACATCCGAGCTGTCATCAGTTCTTTATTTTTTAAGTGCTATAAAGATAATAATATTTCTATTATTGTCCTATTATAATACATATTCCTGTTATGAAACACAGTAGTTTCCATTAGAAATAAAAGAAATGAAAATAAAATAGTTTTAATCAATAACTTACTGAGGAAACAGGATGTTAATACAGCATTAATGTTCAATGTGTTGTTAGGAAGTGAGCGGGATTACAAGCATTAAGAGAAATGCTCCGTTTATATAATTTGCAGGCATTTACACTTCTTTTGACACAAAGGCCTCTTTAATCATGCAATTACATGAGTGTAATGTTAAATTACTATTGCACTGTGTGCACTGCATGCAATGTTGGCTGGGAATGAGTAATGAATATCAACATCCTGCTGCATGACAGGTCATGTTATCGTGCCGACAAACTGTAACATCCTCCTTGTGGCTCATTATGAAACAGAGTCGTTATTTTGCTGTCTTGACCTTTTGGGTTTGTGTATTGAGGTTTTCACAGTCATAAAAGTGTGCACCATCATCTATGTTGTTTCACGATTAGAATTGTATCTCAATACATCTCAACCAGCTCAATACATTTTATTTGACTCCCTGTGAGCCCTAGGGGTTTGGTAACTCAATGGCTCCAAGTTCAAAGGTGGGGATACAAAAAAAACAATCTAATATCAGATGCATTTGGAAAAATCATTACGAAAATAATTCCGAAACAAACGTTGAAATTCTATGTTGATGGGTGTTACAACCCATGCTAGCAAGGGGTAAAAGAAGAGGGACATTAAGAAAGTACAGGGATTCAGGTTTTCAAAAAAAGTTATCTTCTATAATACATACTAAAAATATATATATTCAACAGCTGGTAACACAATAAAAACAAAGTTAGAAAATAAGAATTTCTAATCCAAATTACTAAAGTAAAACACATCTATGTTAAAACCACAGTTTTACCTATAACAACTAACAAAATCTAACAATCAAGAGAATACTCAAATGTTTACACCAAATGCCATCTACCAGTAAACTCTGCTAAATTTCTACAACCAGACACACAAAGGACTAGCTTCTTCTACAAAGTCTTTTAAAAACACGATGAGTAATATATTTATTTAATCTTTAATTTAACTGCAAACAGTATAAAGCAAAAATATGCAGTCTTTTGATTTTTTCCTCTCATTCAACTGTTGATATGAATCAGTTTTTGCATTTCTGACATGCCACACATGTCAAACTTTGGATGGATGAAGAACAACAAGAATGTAGTCATTACAGGACAGTATCAAGACAAAAAATAGTTACGCACTCCAATAGTTCATCACTCCCGAGGTGGCAATGACCTCTCTGGACCAAAAGCTATTTTAAAAGGATTGCCACACAGTGGAAACATGGTTTGAGGTAAGACCAATTATTATCTTTTTTTGTGATAAAAGACATTGTGTGGTCCAGATTCAGATATGATAGGGCCTGATAACTGTCACAACACTAATGTCAACTTGTGCACTCTTACAACACAATAACAATGCAACTAAATACATTCCATGCAATGAATCTTACATGTGCAATACATTTTCCCACATATTTCCATGTTTCCACATGTTTCCATTATGTTATGTTCTGTAACAATCAAAATGTACTCTTTTCATTTGAAATGTAAACACTGTAAGATGGTAGAATTTGCAATATTCACAGCAACAGAGAGAGTGAGAGAGACAGCATGAGCCCTACACCTTGATGTCATGCAACATTACTAAATGATACGTTTCACAATCCCAAAAAGGCAAAAATAGAGTAACAAACACATCCTGAGGGGAAAAACATTACATTTTTGTCTGCTAAAAATCTCTTATCCCTTATCAATACTATCATACGAGCATTTGTAGTTATTGGAAAAAGGCAAAACTACAGCTTCCATGACTCTGCTATCATGTTCCATGTATATGGTTTTCATGTTTTTTTTAGCCTGTTGAATTTTACTTTAATAGAGGCTCTGCTAAGATAATAATGTATAGATTTATTGTGACTATAGAAGATACACTAACATGTGAAAGCATGCGGTAATGACAAACATTTTTAACTGTCTCCACAGGCTAGGGTGTGGAGAAATGGCAGTTATTTTTATTTGTGTTTTATTTGTCGGTTTCATTATATACAGATAAAAATCTCACCTGTGTGCAGATCTTTTCCTATTCTATGGATCATTTTGGTATCTTTGGCTATTGAAGCAAAAAGTGGTAAATAACATCCTACATTTTCCTTACCAAGCACACAGTTTAGTTTGCAACAAGCAAAGGAATGTGAAAGCGTCCTGAATTGCTAAAGTCGGGGTCAGGTATGTTGCCTCAAGCCAATAATAATTCAAACGGATTGTATAAGCTTTTGTAATCCTTCCCTGACACAAATGAGTTATTGTTGTACCAAGGGTTCAAAAATAAAGTGCGAGCAACATTAATAGACAAACCAAGGTTGTAGACAATGGTTCACTTATTGTTCTCACGTTTGTGTTCCTCTCCCCTAGCATGTTTCCCTAGCATGTGTTGACCCTCATTTTCTGTAGCTCAGCAGCCGTTGTTTATCCCTGCTTCCCTTTACAGCATAGTTTTATTGTTTGTGACTGCCTCAGAACAGTCAGAAGGAAGTAAAGTGACAGAGCTCAGGTTTCATTGTGCTTTGTCTCTGATCTTTAAACCAATTTCACACAGACTCACAAGGTGAAAAAGACAGAACGCACACAATCCTTGAACATGCTTCCTTGATTAAAGATATGTCTCTAAACCTGCACATCTTTATCTCTTTTCAAATTCTCGACCAACTTTTGGAGATTTGCAGACCAGACCTGGAACTTTTTGTCAGTTTCTGCCGCCATGTCTGTCCATCAAGAAAAAAACAAGGCAAGACAACACATTTCAGCGTAGTAAACACTGAAATATTTGTTCTTTCAATAAAAACTGAGGACTAATATACGAGACAAGTTATGAGAAAAATATTAAAGGGACATGTTGTTTAAAGCAGAATTGCTTAGTCATCTCCTCTTTTGTAGGGAACATTTTTGTAATCTGCTCTCAGCTGCCCCTACCAATGAAACCCCATCTACAACTCATTAGAAATACTGCTGCTGGAGAGCACCTATTTTTAGAAGCTCTTAGACACACAGGGGCTGAATTTATAATAGAATTTAAGGCCTGGCTTATTGAAGCCTCAAATGGTATGTGCTTAAAATTATAAGAGGTTTGTTTACTGAATACAAGCTAGGAAAGTGTGTAAGATCACAATATAATGGAATCAGCTCACCAAAAGGATAAGATTGACTCCAATTATTTATATAACACAGATTTTTTTGTAACACAATGATTATGTAATGAAATTACATTATTCAAATTCTAATTTTGTGCAATTCATATGGATAATAAACAAAAGCCAGGCTAAATAAACCAAGAGATACGCAGCAATTTCCTCTTCACTTTGAAGTTGCAGTGACTCCCAAATCCTGAGCATGTACAGAGAGACATTGTAAAGAAAGAA